CAAAGGGGGCGCCAGCCTGAAAAAGTTTGGGAACCACTGACCTAACCGAACTAGTACGGGTTAGATACAGTAAATAAAAGTTACAGTTATTTTTATGTTTTACCTTCCCTGCATGGATGTGTACTTTAATCTACCAATCTAAAAAATTATCCACATATACATATAAAGAAATATAACTCAGTACTCACTGCAGTGAGTGACATAAAGCACACTTTCTCGTCGACGAATACATGAAGTCACGGACGGACAGACAGACGGACATGGCGAGAACAATAGTGCATTTTTTTCATAAATGGGAAAATGCGCTAAAAATCAGTCTTTTTTGTATATATATGTGGACTATTTTTGAGATTGGTAGATTAAAGTAGACATTCATGTAGCGAAGGTGAAACATAAAAATAACTGTGTGAAAATAACTGTAAGCAAACTGAAACATGAAAAAATTCCCGTGAGTGGTAACTGGTAACAACTTAACTAGTAACAACTAACATGTTGACACTAGTAACAGACTGAGGTTGACAACATTACACCGAAATCTTTCGTACAGTTTTATTCTGTAATTTATATTATGTATGTATCATGCTGGTTTTTAAGTAATATTTAATACTATTAAGTAAAATCTAAAGGCTTTATATATAAATGTAGCCGTAGCGCTGTAGCGGCAAAACCTCGTATCGCTACTTAAATATGTAGCGGACGCTACCGCTACCGCTACATTGCCTTAAATGCAGCGCCGCTACCGCTACCGCTACTGAAAATGTAGCGGCCGCTATAGTAGCGGCCGCTACATGTAGCGCGCTACTGCCCACCTCTGCATTTAGGGAAGGTAAAACATAAAAATAACTGTAACTTTTATTTACTGTATCTAACCCGTACTAGTTCAAATAGTTTAACTGCAATAAAGTTGCATTGATATGTTTTGAAAATGTTTTATTGTCGTTAAATGTTTATGAGTAAATCCCAATAGCAGAACAATAAATATTTAGATATTTCCAATTATTTTGGCCATTGTAGCGGCTAATGTGGCGGCGCTACATTCTACTGTAGCGGTAGCGGTAGCGCCCGCTACAATCTAGTGGGTGTAGCTGTAGCGGGAGCGCCCGCTACAATCTAGTGGGGGTAGCGGTAGCGCCCGCTACATTTAGAGCATGTAACGGTAGCGATAGCGGCGCTACATTTCAATCTAGCGCTGCCCAGCTCTGATAATAGCCACCCAACGGTGATGTTTAGTTCGTGGTATTTTTCTATTTTGCCGTCGTTTGCGAGATATACGGCTATACGGAGAAACGACCGGCCTTTTCCTAGGCCGATTTTGCGGTCGGGTTAAAATTTTTCAAATTTGTAATGACCAAAAAATATCTCTAAATGTAATGAATGGAGCTCAATGTAACATTGTACTCGTATTTATTAGGAACCAATGGTGATGTCTAGCTCGTGAAAAATTTATTCCATCTCTCTTTCGTTCGTAAGTTATATGGCAATACGTTAAGTCCACTGTTAAACGTGTGAACAAACGTTTCTCTATGAAAAATCTAAACTTTATTCCAGATAATTTGAGTGTAAATTACTGTGCTCCACTTCAGCTTCATGAGCTAAATATCACCTTTGGGAGGTTAGTAATGTATATTCAAATTTTGTTCAAATCGGTTCATTATTTTAAATGAAATGTCTTTGTCACTGCGAATTTCAGCCAAGGTGATCATGTGCAAGTACAGTTGCAAGGTGATCTTGACAGGTTGGTTCACTGGGCTGATAAGTGGCAGCTGCGTTTTAACGCTGACAAATGTAAAGTAAACCATCTTGGCATAAAAATAAACAGGAAGATTACAGTATTAGAAGACATGGTTGCAACGACAGAGTGATGATGTCGAAGTCGACTATGGAAAAATTTTAGGAGTTAATGTCGACAATGGGTTGAAATTTTCTAAGCATATTTAAGCTCAAGTTAATAAAGCCAATAAACGACTTGGACTGATCAGACCCTCCTACGAGTACACAGATGCTGAAGCGAATCAAGCGCTGAAGCTGTTGTTTGTCGCTGTCGTGCGCCCGAACCTAGTTAGAGTTTGGAAACGCCGTGTGGTCACCAAATCCAGAAAAGGACAAAAATTTAGTCGAGAGTGTTGAAAGACGTGCAACAAGGATAATTCCGGGATTAATTAAAAGGCAAGCCTTATGAAGAAAGATTGAAGATTATGAAGCTTACAAGCCTCTGTTATCGACGTCTGCGCAGAGCTGGGCAGCGCTACTTTGAATTGTAGCGGCTGCTACCGCTACTGCTACATGCTCTAAATGTAGCGGGCGCTACCGCTACCGCTACAATTGCTTAAATGTTGCGCCGCTACCGCTACCACTACATGTAGCGAGCTACTGCCCACCTCTCGTAACTAACATGTTGACACTAGTAACAGGCTGAGGTTGACAACATTACACCGAAATCTTTTGTACAGTTTTATTCTGTAATTTATATTATGTATGTATCATGCTGGTTTTTAAATAATATTTAATACTATTAAGTAGAATCTAAAGGCTTTATCTATAAATGTAGCGGTAGCGCTGTAGCGGCAAAACCTCGTATCGCTACTTAAATATGTAGCGGGCGCTACCGCTACCGCTACAATTGCTTAAATGTGGCGCCGCTACCGCTACCGAAAATGTAGCGGCCGCTAGTAGCGGCCGCTACATGTAGCGCGCTACTGCCCACCTCTGCGTCTGCGTGAACTCATTGAAGAATGCAAGTATACCAATGTTTTATACAAGGTCCCAGAAGGATTACTAGAATTTGAAACATGAATCAATACCAGGGGCCACGGTTATAAACTGAAAAAACTGCGTTGTAAAACACATCCATGCGACAACATTTTTTCTCGCTTCGAGTCACCGACATGTGGACTTCGAGTCACCGACAACAGACTAGATGAAGCGAGCATATGTTCAGTCTTAAAATGCCTAGCACCGTACGAACCTTCGTAATAAGCCCAGCAGCCATCTCAATCAATTCGTCAGTTATGGAAAGATCGGGTTCAAAAGGCCGGATCCTTTATGGAATCAAGTCACGAAAAGTCCAAGAATCGGCAACCGGCCAGGGGCCTATTTCTTCAGCGCCGACACTTGTATTCTATTCTACTGTCGTGTAACTCACGAATGAAGGCGAAGTGGAAAAAAAAAACTCGCACACGAAGGAAAAATTGGGAAAATTGTCACAAGCTAAACATCACCATTGCGCGTTTAGGAATGTATATTCAAAGTTTCGTTCAAATATTTTCAGCAGTTCGCAGGTAATGTCATGGTCACGGCGAATTTAAGCCCGCATTGCTGTATAACCCACGAATAAAGGTGAAATTGAAAATAATTTTACGAGCTAAACATCACCGTTAGGTAATAAAGAGCTGCTTTCCAAGTTTCACCGAGCTGTTTTCGTTAGTTTGGGAGATATTCACGTTCTTGATCAAGTCTTGATCACCGTCAATTACGGCACGGATCACCATATAACTCTCGAATAATGGCGACCTTTTTAAAATTGTAACAATCTAAACACCGCCGTTAGGCCCTAATGAATGAATGTACCAAGTTTCATCGAGCTGCGTCCATTAGTTTTGGAGATATTCAATGATCATTGAATTTGGAGACCGGCCGCGACTCCAACCGCGAGTCCGGCCGTAAAATTGTCCGAGACGTGAGATTTATATGTCATTAGATTTGATGACTGGCCGTGAGAACGGCCGCAAATAAAATTGTCTGATAACACTAGTAATATATGGTGTCGGATCAATTTACGGCCGGATGTAATATACTGTTCCGAAATAAATGAGATAAATGTAGGAAGACTTGTATTTTTAATCATGGATTTCGAACAATACAATGATAAATTATTAATAAATATTGATGATCTAGGTTGAATTAATCTTATATAACCGAATAATATGATACATATGCCTGGAAAGTGTATAAGTAAATAAACGAGGGAAATTTTCAACAAAAAATAATCTTAAGTGCAGGTCTTGCACGAAAAAGCTTTTATTATTTTTCAAATTTTTAATATTCACAAAATGACTCTCTTAAAAAGGAAAGATTGAATGATTTCATGTTTTCTATTATTATTATTGTTATCGCACTTATTTTAGGGTAATTATAATTCACTAGGATCACTACTGTCGAGTGTTCGCGGTTTATTTCAAATTACAAATACATAAACAAATTACTTTGGTGCCAACTTCGCTGTCATCGACAAGAAAAGCATGAATTAGGTAGTCATATTATTGGGTTCAAAATCGGCATTGTATGTGTAGGATCTACTGGCGAATTTCTACGAAATTTCACTTCCTCAAGGCTCATTGACTCGACTGCTATACTGTAGTGTACTGACTACTGTGTACCTATACATGCCTTGCTGCAACTCTCCTGCAAGAGTAATTAGATTCGGGAAATTAGACTTACACTTAGGGCTTTCTATTTTTTTACAACACTTCTCTTTAACTTCACTTCTTGTTTGTTTGTCTGTCTGTCTGTCTGCTACAAATCTTATAATCAAAATTTAACACAGTAAACACACTTCTACTTATCCTATCGATCTGAAATTTTGCACATTGGCGTAAAGTTGGAGACAATGCAAGAATCAAATGACAAAATAAATGATTTTAAAAATTAAAAAAATTTTTTTTTATATTAAAAAATTGAAAAAATAATTTTGTCAGCTACAAATCTTATAACTGATATTTGACACACTTTTACCTGTCCAATTGACCTGAAATTTTTAGTTATAACTTTTTATATATCATGAATCAGGAGCTAATTTTTAACTACTGTAAATCAGAAATCATATCATTTTCATGTATGATTCATTCATTTTCATGTATGATTAATTCATTATCATTCATTTCATGGTGCCAAATGCCAATCCATAGGTTATTCAAAAGAACCTGTTCTTATGTCATTTTGAACCGATCAACACTTCTTTATGGACCGATCGTAAAACACAGTTAACACACCTTCACCGGCAAAAGCTTTCACACTTCTGAAGAAGGTGAGCTGACAGCTACACTGGCCGTGGGGTGTGGGTGGACCTTATTTGAATATGAATGCATGCAGCGATTCAAAATCCTATACACTGTGATAGACATAGTATACAAGTCATAGAGCCTAAATTTTTAATATCTATAAAAAAATGCAAACCCATAAGTACTCACACCAATTCCCTGCCACCATGATTCATTTCATGCATTATGGCATCACTGGCAATTGGCAAAGGCAAACCAGAGAGTTTTTTAGACTCCCCAAAGTTCATTTTTGACTCTTAAAGTAGACCAGTAAAGTATTGTGGATACCAGCTAAGTCCAGCTTCATCACACATAAGAAATTAGTAAAATCTTGAGTAAATGAGGAAATTAAAAATGAAATGATTCTCAAAAATCTCTGGTATGTCACTGTGATTTCATCATTTTTATGCATCATCATTATTCATAATAGAGATCAGATAAGAATCTAGGAGGAATTCAGTCTGTATCAGTCAAAGGGGAATTCTAGGATGAGAGGTCCTTACGGCGGTTGGGTACCATGCAGCGGTTCAAACATGTTGCAAGGCCCTTGCCTTTGGCCCTTGGCGTCCTTGCAAGCAGGCATGCAATATATCTACTTGGAGACCGGTTGGACAAAAGCGCATGAACATTAGCGTGGGTTACAGCGTGGGCCGGCCCGGCCCTGAACCTGCTCTCCCTTTAGCCACGTTTTATTCCCTCAATTTGTAATCAATAATTAAGAAATAAAATACATGGTTTCACATGCTTATTGCGCAGTTGTGACAATTTTTTATTTTTTAACCTCATCTTCTTTGCAAATAACCATGGAAGCAGCGTTGCCAATATATGGGTTTTTAAGCCCAAAGCGTCGCCGACCATTTTTAAGATGCGTCGCCGGGTAATTTTTAATGAAAAGCCATTTACCCTTAGTAATGAAGAACTATTTACAAGCCACAAACTTATTTACAAGGTTGCATGCACGTGTTACCCCAAATAACTAAATAACTAATTTTACCCTAAAAACAGTCCGATTGTACAGCAAGTGTTAACTGAACATGTAATAAAGCAGTCTGACCGCTCTAATGTGACCGAAACTACGCAATCAAAAAAACATTGTTTACATTTTTTGGGGGGAACTTATCGCAACTGATTTCCGGACAAGCTTCGCTGCATTGTAATCCATCCAACATACCGGAAACCTTACTTTTTTTCTAAATAGTTGGCCGAAGACTGAGAACTATATTAAATGCAAGAATTTCAATCTAAATGTGTCGGCAAGATCTTCTGAAGGCGAAAATTTGGTTACTGAAGCGTTGCCAAAGATCTTGCAATATTCATCCACTCTCTGCACAGTGGGCAAATAAAACAGTAAAACGGGTGGAAACGGGCAAATTCAGTCCTGTAGCCACGTTTTATTCCCTCAATTCGAAACCAATAATTATGAAATTAAATACGTACATGGATTCACATGCTTATTTTATAATATAATGTTTAATAAATTGCAATTTAATCATTCCTTCCAGATTACTGTGGCAGGTGCCAGGTGGCTGGTTACCACAAGTTGTAAAACAAAAGCAAAGATGAGACCGTTAAAACGTCGGATTTCCAAAGTGTAAGTATTAGCTTCAGGATTCTTCTATGATTTTAATAAAATCTCTAAAATGTTATTTAATGTTAGACAGTGTGTAATTCTAAGAATGGAAGTTAACATATAAAAAAGCTTTCCACCCAATGTGGAAAGTTTCCTTAGATACAGCACTCTGCCAGCTGACTGACTGTAAAGGAAAAGGAGGATCAAATGTGGACAAGCTGTTTCAATTGTATAGTAACTCAGATTTGTTATAGAATTGTTTAGTTGTCTCTTGTTGGTTTGATGATTTTTATTTTTTCATTTATTTTATTTTATTTATTTATATTTGTTTTTATTTATTTTCATGAATTAAAAATGCATATCCTAGTTTTGCACTTCTGGTCAGACTATAGTTACAACTTACAACTACCCTTGACCCAATAATATGATTCCCTCACCAATGTATGGGGTATTATGAGTGGAGTATAAAAGACAACTGGCCCTACTAAGTTGCACAAGTCATTGAATATGCTCCTATACTCCAAGTCACACTAGCATCCTGATCAGTAAATATACTCCTAGAAACAACAAGAAAATTGGACTAAGTCACATTAGTCTGGGCCCACTGTCTCAAGGTATCTAGGAAAATCAAACGGCTCATTAATTTTAAGTCACTAGCCTAATCTAAATTTGGTTTGTATGTGGAATCTCTTTATCAGGTTTATATTCTTACTTAATGGCCAGGAGTTGGTCGAGTGATCTTAGGCTCTCATCAAGAAGACTGTAGCTCCACACCAACTGCTCCTAAAGGTCAAATAAATGCATTCATAGGAACTAGCCTTCTAGGAGTATTGACATCAGGAGGACGTTTAAAACTGTTTTGTCACACACAAAGTCATGAATGCATTAGTTTCAGAAGTAAAGTTATTCAAGTTAGGACACAACATGGTTAAAGTAAGCAAAATGAAGATTGTGCAATAAAAGGACAGGATTAACATGAGAACCAGTCCATGAAAACCATCCATCATTCATTATAAACAGGCATATTCGAATGACTGGAAAACATTTGTTAAGAGCTCTGCAAAAGACAAATAGCAGCATGGCTGCATGGTGACATTTTAATGAGATGAAATGAACTGTACTCAACAAAATGGAGCATCAGGATGGGATTAGCAAGCAGAGTTGTACATTGAATCATGCATTAAGGCATCTTAAGCAGGCTTTTGAAGGTCAGGAAAGAATCAGGTGCAACCAGTGAATTTCCATTTTAGCAATTAGGGGTGCAGACTAACCAAAAGTACGTTACATACGGACTTACAAGAATTATGTCTCATTAACTTTTACTCTGCTTGAATATTACACCAAAGGGAACAAGATACATTATGAATAAGATGCACATGACACTCAAATGCTAATGAAATAAAACATGACATGCATTAAGGTACAATAGTGAATGAATTATTTGATTGTCCAATATAGCTAATGTTCTGAGGCCCTCTCCAACGTGAATTAGTGGTGGTAAACCATTATATTAATTAACAAAGTTATAGTTACAAAATATGAACTGAATTTTCTTTTTTGAATGCATCTAAATATGGATGAGCCAATATATTGGATTGTCATCATGTGGCCATCTTTGGCCATGAAGAGCCATTTACAAGCCACAAACTCATTTACATAATCCTGTGCATAGTCCAGACATTGACACAGCCTCAACAAATTCAAGACACAGCTTCACAAGCTGTGTGTTTGAGACTTTGCACACTAAAGCAACAGTTGTGCCTACAAAGCAAAGAGATGTGGTCAGTTAGCATTATGTGAAAATGTAAAAGACAAGAAAAAAAAATACAAAAAATTATGAAAATGCCCCCAAGGAGCAGGACAGCGTTGATAATAAGTAGCTTCATTGTTATTAAGCTCAAAATCAGTTTTAATTTGAAAAAAATATGCATGCAAAACGTTTTACTAATGTTATGAAAGTTTTAGTCACAAATATTTGTCCCAAAAGTATTGATCATACCATCAAAAGTATTGATCAATCGTTATCATTTAAAAATGATGGTGATTCTCAGTTACTATAATAGAAACTTCCATGATATTAACAATAAAATATTGTCAGCCCTTCTAAGACAAATCCTAGTAGCCTAGCTATTTATACTGTCAAGCTCATTGCATAAAAGTTAGATTTATAATTCATTTATAATGGAATTAAACAAAACTACATAAAAAATATCCATATCATGCTAAAATATACCTTAACATAATACATAAAAACTGAAACCATAAAAATTATATGCTTTGTTGTACAACTATGACAATAGAATGTTGATCTAAAATATAGTCATTCAAACAAGTTTGAACATCTGTAATGTAAATAAAGAGTAGTGTAAGCCTCTCGCTACTCTCCATGCAGTGATTTGTTGTGTTTTAACTCAAAGTGTGTTGCTCATTTTTCCATTTAGATTTTGAACCTTGCCTTAAAGTGCAGTGTAATGCAACCATGTATAAATTTTGAAGTGATTTGAGTGAATGGGTATTTTCTTGCTTAGTCAAGTTGATAAGATGGGTACCTAGGCATGATGTTCCAGTCTCCTACTGTTAGCATTAGTAGCAACTGTAGTGCAACTTTGCAAGTAACATATTTCAGTTCAAATATTTTTTTCACTACTTTTTGCATGAAAAAGTCTTTATTTTACAGTTATGGTATAAATGTTTGTTTTAAATTTTCAATTGTTGTTAAACGGTGCTATAATTGCCTAGATTTCATTGTGAATAGGCTAGGCATTTTGCTGACTTGCCACCATCAGGCATTGTCACTTGCACCTGCTCAGCTATGCCATGAATCTGCTGTGCAGTGTGCTCACATTTGAGCAGGCATGCTCTGAAATTCTCTAAGTAGATGGTAATCAAGATTGCATCTAGAAAGGCACCATGATGATCACTACTGGCCTCAGTGGCCTGTTGCTGATTTTTGATATACCAGAATTTCAACAGCTAGCTGCATGTTGTAATCGCAATAACTTGCTCTAAACTTGTTGCGCTCAACCATCAAGTCACTCAACCAATTTCAAGAAGAATTTCACAAAAAACTGTGGGTTTTAAACCAGCAAGTTGCTGCTCAAAGTGTGGTGATCATACAATTTTGGCCAAGCTGATTTTTTTCATATTCAAGTGTTTTTACATGAACTCTGAAGATGGTTGATTGGAAAATCTTTTAAAAAGACTTGTTTGACAAATGTCCATTAGAGGATAATTACTAAAATTTTGTTTTTCTTTTTTTGCTTTGAACTTAATTGTATATTTCTAAATTAATTTTGGACTTAGGTGCTTGCGATAGATGGGTACAATTGATTTTGCAACAGAAGATGCATCATCCTGGTCCCTGTCTTCATCAATTGAATATCATGGAGAAAACATATTGACAATAATTAACTGTTGTCTGCATAGCCTACCATGTGCCAGCTTAATTGACATAATCCATAGCAAAAAAATATTTGTACATATTAGCTTGTAGAAGTCTCACCTTTAACCTATATTGGTTTAAGGGGAGCGTCTACCCTAAAATTTTGGATTTTGGCTTCTCCGGTTTTTAGTCTCATCTTAAAGCTGACATTCTGACCTATCCAACGTTACCAAAACCATCTCAGTACGTTGATTTGTGTTCACAACAGATCATGAAAGGGAGGGGGGTGGGTGAGTTCTTTAACAAATAGAATGGGAGGAAATTTGCTGCGAGCACTTTAAATAGTGTCTGCTTGAGGTGCACCTTAGTTACCCGCCTGGCGTCCTATGAGGAGGTGTGCATACAGTCGCTCCCACCATCCTTGACTGGAATCAAGCTGCAGTAGCGTTTAGTTTTGTATCCTTGCTACATTGAGTGCCTATTCCGATCCGCGTGGGACTTTGACGGGCTCTACTGAAAAGTTAACTTATTGTCACTGCAAACCTATCTCCTCCTAGAGTTTTGAAGCTACAATAATGAGACATATATCATTCGATTTGTAAATAAAAGATCTACAAAGCCATGTAGGCATTTTTCTAATTTTGTTATAGTTTAGATTTTATTTAGTAAAAAGTGGGGAAAAAATGGAAAAATTTACGAAAAATGGCCCCCCACCCACAAAAATTAGAATGATAAAAAAAATGCCTACACAGTTGTGTAGAAATGTTCCTTATGCATCAAAATGATTGAATGATATGTGTTTTGATGTTGTAGCTTGAAAATCCTAGGTGGAGAATTCTACGGTACCCCCTTTTTGGCCGTTTTCTAAGAATTTCATGTTTTCTTTCATTTTTTTTAAAAAAATTCACAGGAACAAAATGCAAGTTTTTTCCATTTTACATGAGTGTACCAAGTTTCAGAGTGATCCGTCTGTAAATAGCCGAGATAAATTTTAGGGTAGACGCTCCCCTTAAACTTCTATAAGGAGCTTTGTTATGCCAAAAAGATAATGAGACTTCTCAACAGGATTGATCTCCAGTCTACTTCCACCCCAGCAAGGACTGGTGCCATCCCTCCTTCGATGGTAGATCTGGCAGATCTTACCCCGGTGAACAAATTTTCCAGAGGACTTTTTGGTCAACGAATTCAGTCACCAGGAAGCAACAGGTACTTTTTTTGAATAGCAGATGCATGGTAATATTTATTTAGTAAATTTTAAATCACCTTGTGAATTTGATCAGACTGTGGTTGAGTTGGTAATTTGTTTGCCATTAACACAAAATCATGAAGTAATAGTCTTGAAAAGCATAGCTAGTGACTGTAAATATCATTGCAAAGAATTTTTTTTAATGTAGTTTTTTTATATGTCACATTGAGAATCTAAAGTACCGGTATGTGAATTAAATTAAAACTCAAGTTTAAATTGACATTAAACCTCCAATTTAGAGAAAGCTAACATAAAATTGTTAAAAAAATCCTCTGTGAAGTTTATTTCTCTATCAATGTTGAACAAAAAGTAGGTAATTAATTCAAATTCTTTGAATAAGTGGCATAGAGACCATACATATGCCTTATTCAAGGGTTGCCACTGGTATGTGGCTAGAAGACTGTGTTGTTTAACACCCCAAACTGACTCATTGATGACAGCAAGATACTCCCTGTGACTCTTTTGAGCTAAGTTGCTGCCAATAGGGAAAAGGCACAAGGAGTAATGAACGTGAACAATGCAAAAAGATGTTCTATCCTCATTGTTAATGGAGCTATCCAGTCAATGATATGTTGTATAAGCTCTGAAAGATTTGGTACTAAATGAAGCAATATATATGATTGATGTGAATTAATTCCAATGATAGGCTAACCATATTAGGTAGCATTAGTACCCTCATTACCATAGAATCAAGGCAAACAATAAAACTAATTATTCATGTTTAAGGCTGACAGTAACAACATGCTCTTCTTCAATAGCTGAGTCAATGCCTGAAGAAAAAATTACCAATTCAATTTTTTCTTCAACATATAGCCTTAACATGTTTGTTATGTATTAATTTTATATCATTTACTGAAACATAGTAATCTCTATGCATTTAATTCCCACTTTATCTTTCTATAAGGATTCCAAGTATCCAACACATTTCCAGGCAGTGATGTTGCAATTTTTTATAAATGCACACAATGAACCAAATGTTTTTGTGCTCTTATTTCTGTTCATCTTAATGTCCTACAAAACTTCCAGGCACTAAGAATATATACACCTGCACCTCCATATATACTCCTGCAACCTCAATATGTATTTTTCTAAAATTCACAAATCTCTGAAGTTTGTTTCCACAAAATTTTCTCTGATTTTGTTTTAGTTCATTCTAACTGGAAAGCACAGAATACATTTTATGTGCAAGCCTCTCTGAAGGTCTGTTGATGCTGGTTTTTATTGTTGTGTTCTTAAAAGTGACTTCTGCATTGGCCTAAAATTTTGTAGGGCATCTCGATATGCATTAGCCTCAGAAATTTCATGTACTGCTTTCATCAAAAAAGTAATTTCTACATATTTCTATGCTTGCCCAAAAAGGGCTTGATTAGAGTCAAGAGGTCCTATTCTATTAAATTCTTGATGCTTTTCTCTAAAATACAGCTCAATTTTGGACAATGCATCCTCTGCGATGATCAATCAGAAATCTTCATCCCGTTGGGTTTTATGTTATGTTAATTTACTAAAATCTGATGTCAGGTTGGTTAAGCTGTTGTGGTTTGTGATTAATGAAGAGTTTTTCTTCAGGTTTTTATGGAAATTTACTTTATCAATGTTGACTGTACATTATACATTATGGGTTTAATTGCTTGATCGTCAATTGCTTTAATTCTGTTGAGTTTGGTTGCCAAGTGGCTTACTTTAGCGGTGCATGAATAGGTTCTTGTATGAATAGGTTACATCAAAAATCGCCCAGAGAGAGGGTTCTAATAAACACTTGTACAGTCCATATTAAATTAAGAAATTTAAGTTAAATTTAAAAACCTATCAGTTAACATCACTAAAATTTTCTCTATTTACCAGAAAAATGTTGAAGTGTAGAATGCTCCCAAGTAGAAGTTGTTACTCGCGGTGCGCTGAGACTCACACGATAACAATGTAATTCAGTTTCTTCACTGAAGCTGTTTGGATTCTTTTGATGTAATAATTTCTCTAACACTCGTCTGCTTGTGATCACTAACATGGTCGTTCAACCATTGATCTTCACGTCGCCCACAATTGAGATTTCAAGAGTTCCTCATGGGACAATGCTCCCATCTTAACTGCTATAACTATCTGGCTGCAACTACCCTGTTACTTTGGTACTGTGGTACTGACTCACGTGGTTGTCCCACTGCTTAAATATACTAGCGCTTGCCTCCCACCGCTGAACAACTCCGCCTTAAATCCAAGTCACGCCCTACATTCAAATTTCCCTCAATTCATGCCATCATTCCTATATGTAGATATGCATGAATTTCTATTCCTATCATATCCTCCTGACCTGCATAAAAATATAAGCTAGGTGTCAGATTTATTTCTAACTTATCTTCTATTTTGAAATCCTAAACCAAATAACTTACAGTACAACATTAAATTTAGGAAAAATTAACCCATTTGTAGCCACTGAACATTCATTAATGAAAAACTTTTTACCATACTCAGTACACAATTTTAATTCCGACCTGTAACTAGTTAGCATAACAATCTCTTATGGGCCCTAATTTCATTTGTAGACACATAAAAATTGACATCGTATGAAATAAAAATAGAACAAAACTTGATTAGTTCTAGCTAACTGGAACAATTCAGCAGTCTCGTCTCTCTCCCTGCACATCCTACCATCCATGGAAAAATTCCTCAAATAAAAAATAATGAAACACAAAACCAAGATAGCACAAGCTTTGCCTACTTGAAAACTTTTGCATTTAATACATATCCCCCAGGTTCAAATTCTCACACACAAAAAAATACATGCATAAGAAGAAAAGGAATTTCCCCATAAAATATCCCTCCTATGGACCCAGCACAACAATAAATTTCTGATATTAATTAAAAAATAGGTTTACATTAACTTCCTACAACAAAATTATATCAACCAAAAAATTATTTCATAGAAAATTATCATTGCACTTGATACAGATGATTGCAATCCAGAACTGTCCTGGATCTGAAATGTTCTGGTTGCTTGCCCCCCCCTCCCCCCCCCAAATAAAATTAAGCAGCTCAATTTACATAATAATCCTACCACCTTATTAAACAAATAAAAAATAGAAAATTCCTACAAGAATCTTATACCCTTGAGAATTTACGTTAACAATTTCCAAACACAAAGTTATAATCATACAAAGTTTCATTTTAAATTCCTATCTGGAAATTTGTCTTTCAATAGTCATTTGTCATTGTTAGCAAGTGTATTGATGCTAGCGCAATGGAATGGGTAAATTGAGTCCTTTGGTCTCTGGCAACAATTTAGGTGGAATGAAAGTAGACTTCTGGATATGCATGTATAGTAGAGGGTAGTGTTACAGATGCAAATGTGGGATAAATAAAAGTTTGACCATGCATAGGAATAGTGTGACCAGACATTGGGAGCATGAGAGAGTTATTTTAGCTGCAAGAGATAAAACATATTATCAATAAAACTATAATCAAAAGAACCTCACTCACAACAGTTAATTAAAATCAAAACCCTTAGCATTGACAAGACAATCAAGCAGCAAGCAGTAAGTTCAGCTTGGTTAGAATATAATTGATAAGGTGATCACAAGAGAGTAATTCAAGAGATTGAAGTAAACCAAGGTATATGGAAACCATCACAACTGGGGTAATAACTGCAACGTATTGGTTGCAACATATAAATTGACAACAGCTTGATATTGAACTAATAAAATAGCAATCATTGAAATTAATGGATTAAAACAGTAAAGCAATTGAACTAAAATCATATAAACAACTTGCTACTATTGTGCAAATTGCATTCTTCACATTAAAAGCAAGCATTGCAAGTAAGTGAATGAACAAGTGTGCTATTATTATATTTGTAATAAACTAAATCAATTAGAAAGCTGAATGAAACACTAACGCACCTCATTTTAAAAGCCTTATACAATATGGATCCTAACAAACACTCACCAGGATAATTGCAGTAGTCAGAGCATTGAACATCAATCTGCCAGCTCCTTATATTTGTTAAAAAAACTTCCAGTACACAACTACATGCATGAATAGTATGATTATTGGAATTACCACTGTGCCTGAAAATATAAGGAGCAATGTAAGATTCTGAAATATAACCCATAAAACAAATAGAACATTGGATAACCAATTTGGTTTGCCATGAAAAATATTGAAATAACCACCCAGCTACAGTATAAATGAGCTACATAGATATATGGCAGCTACTTGGGGCCTGTATAGAAAAGCAAATGAGAAATAGAAATTGAATGCTATTTTTATATTATAGGTATTTCAATTAAGATGGCACAATTGATGGAAAGCTAAAATTTCATGCTATCTCAACTGGTCAACTCAAGAAAAAGTTGAAATTTGCCATTTTTTCTTTGGCAATGACTTTGCATCAGGGTTGGCAATGATTAAATCACATGATTAAATCACTTGATTTTTTTATAAAAAAATCATGATTTTTCTTATTTTTTCGATTTATTTGATTTTTTTTTATTTTTTCATATATTTAAATATATTGAGTGGCAGTCTTTAATTTATATTGAGGTATTGTTATTCATGGTTTAGTATAAATGTACTATGAATGACAAATTATAATCATATAATAATTATATGACTATAAACTTGTTGCCTTTAGTGTGTATTAGGTTCCAATAAATTCTAGTCGGTGTGTATAGAGGGTAGAGTCTGGTAGATTTATAGGACATAAAACTAGTAGATCTATTGATAGTGCTGTGCACTGTGCTATCAGCTACCTATCTGTTATGTGACTTTTCAATGTTTAGAAGATCTGCATTCCTGAAGTTTTTTTGTATATTGAAGCCAGTTAAATGGTCAATATTTAGCTCATTACCTTGCTCCATACAAAACGTTACAAAGCTAATGAATAGACTTATCAATAATTGTTTACTCATAAATCCCTAAGTGGTAAACACCACCTTGGCCTGTTGGCCATTATTGAAGGCAATAAGTGCCCTTTTTAGCCATCAATTATGATCCATATACTGTTATTGCTAGTAGGCTAATTGCAACATAAAAAACAACACTTCAAAAAAGACAAAAAAGTTGAAAAAATCAAAAAAATCAAATAAGTCAAAAAAATCATGAAAAAATAAAAAAAATCATTGATTTTTGATTTTTTCGATTTAAAAAAAAAATCAAAAAAATCACCAACCCTGCTTTGCATTCACAAATTAAATTTCCACACTTTTGCCCCACAGTACTCCTAATCTGAAACTCACCAGGCTAAACTTTCACATAATCTAGTTTGTATGGGATATGAAGCATCTGTTGAAATTTCACCAATATTGGAGATCGTGCCTTGCCGGGAGGGGTCTTTTTCCCCAAATACTGTGTTGTATTAATGGATTTATCAAATTTGTTTGCTGAAATTTTCTTATTTTCCAGGTCTCAATCAAATGGGTCTCTAACAAATACCAAGCAATCAAAGACTCCTCCTTCTGCCGCTAATCGCTCCAAGACTCCACCCACTGTCACCAATTCCTCCAAGACTGCACCTCCTGTCACCAATCACTCCAAGACTGCACCTCCTGCCGCCAATCTCTCCAAGTCTCCACCTTCTGACAATCGCTCCAAGTCTCCGCCTCCTGCTAATCATGTCAAGTCTCCATCTCCTGCAAATCGCGCCAGAACTCCCACTGCTGCAGTGGTGAAAAAAAGACGTACTACTAAGTCACCCCAAAAAAAGCAGCTTGCGGCGGCTAAAGCAGGCAGAGCCACTCCAAACCCAGACAAGAACGTTACAAAACCTGATAAGGTTTGTGGTATGTTAAATTAAATGTACCGTTAGTTGTTGCAGCTGATAACCTCTACTTTTAATGGTAGTAGTCCTTGAATACTTTAAAAGCTTGTTCACTCTCAGTTTAATGTGCTGTGTTTAACAATTTCGATAAGATTTCTAATCTTCTGGCCATTGTTTGCTTGATTACTTGTTAAAAAACAGGCATATGATTTCTATATAAATTTCAGTAATAATTAATTGATATGTCACGTACTGATATCATTAATAGACCCATCAATCTCTAGGGACTTGAAGAGGCTTCTGCAGAGACCGCTTGTGCAAATCATTTCTTTGTGCACGCAGGTTCTATAATAATTTTTTAGATTATCCCCTTAATTAACCAAGCGCTCGATATAATCTAACCATCACTTGTTATGCAGACGGCCCCTGATGAAAGTTTGAGGAAGAAGAAGCGTTTCCGACCTGGAACTGTTGCTCTGAGGGAAATACGGCATTTCCAGAAAACCTCAGATCTGCTTATTCCTCGCGCTCCCTTCGGCAGACTAGTTGGAGAAGTGCTCTGTGATCTTGGCTGTTACAACTACAGGTGGGAATCTTCAATGGCTAATTGCCCTCAACAATAATACTATACGTTTGAAAATTTCTTTTTAAAGACAACACTTCTAAAGAAGCGAGTGTCTTTGTTGTTAGACATGTACAATGAACTTCTAATTCTATTTTCAAAATTTAAAAAAATTGATTTAAAATATTTTTTAAAGTATCAGAATTTGGCAAATTTTCAAAATTATTTATTCTGTCAACTGATTCATGCGTTGTCTCTGACTTTATGCAAACGTGCAAAATTTCTGATCGATTAAAGAGGTAGTTGTGTCATATATGGATTATAAGGTTTGTTGCAGACAAATTATTTTTCGATTTTTTTTAATACTGAGAAGCGGTGCTTTCAACGTGGTATGGCCGTTGGCTTTTTAACAGTGAACTAAATTTTTTTTATTTTAATTTTTTATTATTTTTTATTCTGTCCATTGATTCATGCATTGTCTCCAACTTTACGCAAGTGTGCAAAATTTCAGATTGATTGGACAAGTGATGGTGTGTTAAATATCGATTATAATATTTGTACCAGAGAGACAAACAAACAAGAAGTGAAGTTAAAGAGAAGTGTTGTAATAAAAATGAGCTTCTGATGTCTGAGCGCGTAACTTGACTGAATCAATGCTAACAAATGAAAGCTTTGTAGTTTTTTTTTAGTCGATTTTAGTCTTCCTGGTGACTTTGTTCATTTTTCCTCACCAATGCGCTGGGAATATAACTGACAAATCTTATTATGTATTGGTACGAATTTTAGCACGGTTGTTATACACGAGTATCACTCATGAATGGTTAAATCTATACCTTTGAATTCCTGCTTAAGTTCATTTATAAAATGCAGTATTTTCGCATGCTAATTATTTGCTAACGCAGCTTATATTTTAGCTGTTTAACCTGAAGTTTATTACCATGTATTTTATGTGCAGAATCCAGAAGCTGGCTTTAGAAGCACTCCAGGAAGCAACTGAAGGCTACTTGGTCCATCTGCTGGAAATGACGAACTTGATAGCCCTGCACAACCGCCGGGTCACGATTATGCCTAAAGACATGCGCCTTGTCAGGAGAATCAGAGGCGACTTCTTGTAAGGAGCTATCGAGCTTATTTAACTGTATTCGATGAAACATATGCGTAAGAGATTTTCTTTAATAGCATTCCAGTTTGCTGTGTGCCTACCCTGGAGGTATTAGGCATTGACCAGCAGTTCTGCATGATAGAGTTCTAGTTTCATTATTTAAATGCAATGGTGTACGTAGCTCCAAATAACTAGTAAAATAATTCTAATACCCAGATTAGTTTTGCTCGACTCATCTCTTCCAAGGTATTTTTTTTTTTTGCTGTTAGCTATCTTCTAACAAATTTCAGTTAAAAATTTTAGAGTTTATCGCGACCGCAAAGTATTGAAGGATTACATTTCTTTGATGTGAAACAGATGTAACTGATCATAGGCTTCAAAATACTGTTCTCTGAAACTCTGCTAAACGAGCTTTTTCGCTGGATCGTGTATTAGAAGCAAGAGCGCCTTAAATACTAATATTTTTTTAACTACATGGATTTGCATTATGTAACGAGTGGTACAATGTAACGAGCTGAAGTGCAATTATGTACTCAGTTGACCTCTGAGTTTTAGACTAAAACTGATCTGTATGACTCCATTCATTGGAGGACTTTTTCCGTAGATTTAAGTTGAGGGACCTGATTAAGTTACCGTTTGATGTATTAATGTCTCTTCAGCTTTGCTGTTGGGACCACGTAGTAGAACTTCTGTGTCCCGTGAAGAGACACGAATAATAATGAAATCTGACTTTTAGAGTAATAAAATGCTTCGTAGGAAAATTTTTTTATTGTTTCTTTATAAACTCTTAAAGATCACAGTGGTTCGCAAAGCATGACTAACAGTTCAGCACCACATATACACACACACACACACACGTGTCTCTAGGTGTTGTCCTAAGGTATACTCTAGTTGCCTTTAATTTTATTGAGATATACTCTAGTTGCCTTCAATTTTATTGATAATATCGTATGGTTAGATTGATATGGAAGACACTTAATGAAAACTTGGCAATGCAGAACTTTTCAACTTCGGAACAATAAAAATTACTCTAATCTACTTCCCGTTTAGTTAATCAGAAAGTTACTTGCGGCAAGCAGCGTTACATCTCCGCACGAGACGACTCATTAATTATTCTCTTAAGAATGCGAGTACGAACATCGCAGATAATGTTGTGAGCAGAGTCGTCCAGAATTAGAAGAACAATAAGCCTAGAGTAAGTAAAGTAATCAATACAGATTTGGATAATCGTTAATAAGGATTTCAACACACGAGTAATAGAAGCTACAAAAATAAGCAAAAGCCTAAACGTATCACTAGGTTGCAGGGTAAACGTCAGAGAGAAGCTTGCAGGGACACAAAGTTCGTCGGGAAACCATATGTTGATCTACCAAGTGTTTTTTAGTTGTTAATCCTGAATGCTTTGCTTGAAGGATCATTTAAGATATTCATGGGATCAAACTCGTCTATATGTCAGTATATAAAAACGACTAATAAAACTGCAGGACATCTGGAATAATTATGTCAAACTAAGGCATAATATAGTCCTCCATTTTAAAATATATTTCATGCCCCATTTAAATTTGTAATGCAAAAAAAAAAATAACTTTTGTTCGTATCTTAATAAAAAGCTGAAATTTTGGATCTCTGTCAATACCATTATATCTTTGTGTGTCCATAAAACCTGCACAGCTGAACAACAATTATTGAATGTCCTCGGCTAACTTATTTTTATTCTAGAATTTAATGGTCAACTATTAAGTGCAGATGCCGCTTTTCATATCCAAATTACGCGAAGTTTTGAAATTATATTTCAAGTCGCTTAAGGTAAACCTAAATTCAACGCCAGTCACACAACAATATTAATTTCCGAGACGTTCCGTGTCTCAAAATAAGCCACATTTATTAATCATACAGCCATGTTCAGAGAAGATAACTTACATCCGTATCTCATTACAAGAAAAAACACTCGAGTCTTATCTTTTACGAGCATCAAATTATAAAAAATGTGCCTTACAACGTAGTTTTGTCATTACGTAGTTAATTAATTAAACCCTCGCCACCTTAAAATTACTACTTTTTACTGCTATCCTAAAGAGAAGCCAAGAAATTCAGCTCACCAGGATGTTTTTCCTACTAAACTCGGAGCCCAAGTATCTTTATTAAACTTTTTAAAAGCAAAAGCAGTTTTTGTCATCCCGATCCAAAAGGAGGCCTCCAACAGGTCCGCAACGTGACAGAAACAGCTTCGTTATGATCTTTTGAGTCATTTTAAATATTCATCGACGCTTCAACTAATTTTAAATTAACGGTGTATATGTGGGGGCGATGTTTCGAACGTGTTGTACGATGTTGATTTTTAATTCAAATACCTCACCGGGTTGCAACAGCTAGGGATATTCGAGCGGGGACTCAACAAAATGGGCATAGAAATCAAGAACCAATACTTAAAACGTAGTTCTGAATGAGCAATGAAAGAAGTAACGCATCTGGGCAAAAATCTTAGCATTAACAAGTCGCCAGTAATATAATGTTATTACCAACTGCATTACGAGCGTTCAGAGACCTGAATAATAGTTTCGGATGAAAAGCGCAAGTTGGCTCACTACTGTGCGATTTGGTTCCTGAAAAGCACTGATATTTGGATGAGCAGGTAGCCCACTATAAGGAAGTCGTCCAGGAGGCCGATGATCCCCAGCACGGCCTCAGGCAGGAGGTCAAAGGGTATGAGCGCGTACAGGAAACCCGCCACCATTAACAGGATTATCCGAATTCTGCGGGACAAACAAATTCATGAGAAACTCAAAAAAGCATTGAGTCGGGAAAATACATTTACCTACTGTTGAAAATATGACCATTTTAGCCGAAAAATAGGAATGTTCAATCGGCATTTATATAAAGTTTAATTAAATATTTTGAATCACAAGACAAAAGATCTTGGCTCAGGCCAAAGGTCTTGGTAAGAGGCTTTGTCTGGTACAAGGCTCCCTGGGCAAGTGCTTCAAACTATGAGTTCAATTACAAATCAAATTAGAAAATATATTTATTTATTTATTGAAGAAAAGTGGTTACCCCGATGGCTATAGGAAAAGCTCCACATTGAATTAAAAAAAATTATATATACGACCATACATGCATATTCATACATATACATACACACACATACGTTGGCACATATATGAGAAAAGGCATTCGATTCATAGGAACAGAATAAAAGGCCCAAGATTAAATAAGCACTGGCTCCTGTCCCTGCCGCTGTTGCCAGGCCTTCACAGCTGCCTTGAAGGCAGTCAGGTCAGGAGCTGCCACGGTCTCCTGGGCGAGGGAGTTCTACAGTCTGGTACCTTAACCTTAAGGTCTAGTCTAGTATAACCTTAAAACTCGCAGTAAAAAACAAGACTCGTACTGACATAAACAACCATGGGAGGAATCCGATCATAAATTCATTAGATACATAATTCATTACGATCAATAAAATTAAACCGAAGGCCTGAAGATGCTCAATGCTGAGCGAAACGCGTCGCACAATTAAAATACAAGTAATCGTAATTACTCAAATGCAGGAATTTCACATCGTATGATTGCGGGATTAAAAAATCAGGAAAAATTGATGTAAAAGTAAGTTTTAAGCGAAACATAATTAATAATAAATAATACTCCACTCGAGTGTTAGATGGAATTGCCAATCAGAATACATAGGCAGCCGCGTATAAAGCATTGACAGACGCGGGCAGCGAGGGAATTGTAAACCAAAGTAAGAAAAATTGTGAGCTAAGAAAGTGGAACATTCAGAAAATGTATTGATCTGTTCCTACACTTTTAAATGAGCAACAAAAAATGCATGATATAGACAGTAAACAGTCTTAGGCGATGCCTACCCCGAACTCAATCGTATTAGTATTGACGATTAGGGGTGGCATGATTAGGGCAGGGTAGCCCAGTGGTTACAGTCAGAGTACCAGGATTGGGGCAGAGAGGCGCGGGTTCGATCCCAGCTCTGTGCGCCAGTTTCTGGACAGAATCGGCAAGGAGGCCGGGCGGTTAAGCACCGCAGAATTGGAGCAATGAGTTGCGAGTTCGAGACCGCAACAAGATGTGAATGTTCTGCGATGTTAAGAATCGGCGACAGGCCTACAGCCTACTAAACGCTGAAACCGCTATTATTATTATTATTATTAATAATAGTGGTTTCGAGCCACGGACCATAAAAAATGAGAATTTTTGTAGAGCTTCGACTGCAACCAGTAGAAATAATATTCTTCGTAGACCTGAAAACCTCAAAGATTATCAGTAAAGAAGAGATAATGAACAACATCATCATAATGGACATAAATGCAGAGGAGAAGCTCACCTGTAGATGAACTGAAGTCCGTCCCACGTGAAGAGCTCCGCCCACACGTGGCGCAGCACTGTCGGCAGCTCTCTTACGTGGTCCCAGTACTGCAATATACGGCACTGTATTATACGGGACTGCAATATACGGGACTGCAATATATGGGACTGTATTATACGGGACTGCAATATACGTGACTGTATTATACGGGACTGTAATTTATTATACAGGACTGCAATATACGGGACTGTATTATACGGGACTGCACTATACTGGACTGTATTACACGGGACTGTATTATACGGGACTGCAATAAACGAGACTGCATTATACGGGACTGCAATATACGGGACCACATAATACGGGCATTGTCGGCAGCTCTTACGTGGTCCCAGTACTGCAATATACGGCTATTACAGTTACGAACTGTTACTTCAGTCACGCGGTAAAACAGTCATGGCAATCACGCTGATAATAAAACTTTTTTGTTGAGCTCTCAACTGGCTGCGACATGCCTGTAAATTCGGAATTAAGACGTGTTCCGCCCTTGCTGCCGGTAATTCACATTAATAACACTGAGGATGCTTTCCTTTCATTAGTTCACAAACTTGGAAAATTATCCTCAAACAATAAAATTAAATTTGTTTAAAAAAATAACACAACTTCAATCAATAGAATGAGTGATTTTTTTATGCAGGTCATACTTTATTAATTGCTGTTGAAGTTTGAAAAAGTTTGAAGTTTTTAATTTAAGAAGGAGCTGGTATCCACAACGTTGTGAATAAGAGTATGGTTCACTTTCTAGCCATTCTGTCAGCGTTTAAATTCTTTGTAGGTATATGATTTAAGCTAACAGCTAAGGGCAACGAACATAAATTTTAGTTTGCAACCCAGTTAACAATTAATGAAGCAACACTTCAAAGCCTTGAGATTCCTTATGGCATTCATAGACTGAATTACTTGGGTCGAACTGACAAACATTTGTTATGCCGTAACTGTTGAAGCAAAGTAAACAGCACTCTAGCAGACTATGTGATATGTTTTCCCAAAGCCTTCACATGATTTCTATTCAACTTTTCAAGAAGGAAAAAGCAGTCGTTCAAATCGCCTCTTATAACAGCGCCAGGTTCATCTCACTCGTTGATGAAGATACTAAATGCACCTTGATAATTATCACAGTTCGCCCTTATTACAAAAATATATGATAACATAGAAGTGTCAGCTTTGATTAGGCCTTTAACTACTTGTGCATCGATCTCTAATTACTTCGCACACCATGCCTGTTTCAACCAGAATTTCGATGAGAGTATTGCTGACATTCTGACCCAAAATCTATTGAATTAAAAATGTAATTGTGTAATTAATTGGCCGTTTATGAGCGACGTACTTAATGTGCAGGTGCTAATTGACAGGTATTGTAGGGTATATATAACAAATGAAGAAATTGATACGTTCATGACAATATCTTCCTAAAAATAAATAAACTACATAAAGCATAGCAGTAAAACAGAAGTTGTAGCAGAGAAGATAATAGATAACAGTAAACTGTGTTTCCTATTTTTCATTAGAGGGGTTAACTTTCATAGTTTCAGCAAACGGTAAGCTGGGTTTGCAGTTTTTGCCAGTTCTTCAACGGGCAAACAGAGGATTCAAAAATTAAGTTTCATCCGAAATAAAATTTCAGCCGAAATATTATAAAAAATCGAATGCCAGATTATCATAAATAATCTGGTGACTAAAATCCTGGTCTAAATACCGAAATACTGATCCGGATCTAAAACTTGGTTCTCCTCAGTTACGAGTGGGTTCTTAGCAATTTCAACTTAGTTAATGATATTCGGTGTACAAAAGTCATGATTTTACGAGCGGAAAATACTCTAATCATTCAGAAATCTTATCTTAAAGCTCACTGGCAGGCAGAAAACAGGTGCACATTTAATTTTTTGCAAAGTTTAGAGCTTGTACCGCACTGCATGCGTCCAACCACGGTGGCAATGCCATACAGACAGCGCTCAATATTCCTAAACGTCACTTTCTCAAACTCATTTTCTCCTCTCTTCACTCTAAAAAATATTTACACTATCTACAATTCAAACAATTTTCACATTTAACACAAATAAACCTAACCTTAATCTGAGAACAACCCAGTGTCTCTTATTCTCAAGCCAGACCCGAAGAAATGACAAACATTACATCGCCGGCTCACAGAACCGGTAGCCCTGATACTCTCCCGCCCGCCTAACCTAGAACCTCTACGACCAGAAACATGACGGTCTATAACGTTGCCAAAAATATCGTATCTGGGCGAGGCAGAGCGCGTTGATATATTCGGTGTAGCAGAGCGCCGTATAGTGCGAGGTGTACGCGACAAAAGCTGTACCGAGGCGTCATGGGAGTGCAGTCTGTTGTAGTCGGCGAGTCGTTGCTTGTTGTGTTCCCTTTCTTCTATTACAGCGCGACTTGTAGCGCTGCTTTCAGCGGAGCTGTGGCAGCTTAACAGCATCTTCACCTGCACAATGATTGCATTAATCAACTTGTGAATATTACAATAAAGTTACAAGAAGCTTGATATTGCAAGGCTATGTTACATGATTCAAATTCTAAATCCAAAAACGTTCTCTGGAAGATGAGCATGTATGCGATGATAGATATACATTGCCGTGCAATCAAAGCTTTCTTAAATACACGTGGCGGCCGATTTCTTATCTGTGATAAGTGGGTTTAGCTTGAAAACTGTCAGTGATTGGGCTGAAGGAGTTAGAAACATTTAACTATTTATTATGGTACGTCCCACGATCAAGATAAGATGCCGAGTAATATATTTTATTTTATATTTTTATTATATTTTATACCTATTTATTTATTTCATATTTTTTATTAGTTTAGCATGAGACTATAGTTACCGGATGAAGAAAAAGGAAGTAGGCAGGGCATTGCATTAAACTAAAATTACTGAATGAAGATAAAGGTGTTGAGCAAGGCATATCGTTAGACTATAATAAAGAGATAACATCACCGTGGTCAGTCGTGGTGGTCTCATACGAGGTTATTTCACTATTTCTTAGTCCGATAACTACCCTTCTAAATAAGATAGCAATCCGAGATTTTGAATGCAATTTCAGCTAATACTATAATTAATGAATAACGATAAAAATAATGTACATTGCAGGACACGATGAACCTACATCCTATTACTATAATTAATGAATAACGATAAAGGTAATGGACATGGCAGGATAAACCTACATCCTGACGGCAGCAGGGGCAGGCGATGCAGGCTGTCCTGTTGACGTTCTCCTCCCACACGCGCAGGATGCAGTCTCCTGCAGCACACAATAAGGCTGTGTCATTACCAAGACAATCATTATAATCTTACACGATGAAATTATGGTAGATAATGCATGGATTAACTTAGAAGGCAGTTAGTTTGCAATTGGTAAAAATAAGGTAATGATTTGTTTCAATGTTGGATGAACGAAAAGTATCAATCGAGTAGAATTATCCAGTAAGAATAGCCGCTGATGCGAGTGTAGGTAATCGTGGAAGCTGATAGTCTGGATGTAGTACCGGTAATGAAATAACTTGTTATATTGAGACAACTATCAGCAACCAGTCCATTTTTGTAACCGCTTGGCAAGAATTATAATAAAAACTCGTATGATCGCATCCACCTTGGTTTTAAAGGTTAAAAACGGTTTCAAATTCAAAGTTCATCATCAACTTACAATACGAATTTTTGTCATATTTACCATTTCAGAGACATAAACTTTAAATAAAAAAATCGTTTGCTTCACTAGTCGGAATAATGAAAAATACTTGCAATATTAACATTTTTGAAAAAATTTTCGGAAGAAGAGATTAAAACAGCAGGAAAGTTCATAAAATCTCAGGCATAAAATATCCGAGTCTTAGTCCAAGAGAAAATTACTAAAGCTTATTTTTGCGTGCAAGCATTGCGTCGCGACAGCGGCGCCTCGCTGTTGAAAAGAGTATTAAACACATACAAAAAATCAATGAAAATTTTTCGGTATTACAAAATGAGTTTTTATTCAAAAATATTCGATATTTGGGAATGAATCACAAAATGTTTAGTATTTGAGAATGAGATTTTCACAAAACGTTCAGTGTTTGAGAAGGATATTTTTACAAGACCTTCGATATTTGAGAATGAATTTCTCACACAATATATGAGAATGAAATTTTTACAATACATTCATTATTTGATAATGAATTTTTCACAAAACTTTCAGTATTTGAGAAAGAGATTTTCACAAAACGATCGTTATTTGAGAATGAGTTTTTATTGTGAAGAGCAAAGCAAGCTAAACTCACCACAGAAGAGGTGACCGCAGTTAGTCTCTGCCCCGAAGCGCACCTTGTCCAGGCAGACCGGGCACTCGGTCTGGTCGTCGTCAGGGCGTGTCCGCACCATCGTCGCTAGCACTTCTCTAGTGACGCTCAGCTAGTGCTCACTAGTTCTTATGTAGTGCTCACTAGTTCTTATGTAGTGCTCACTGGTTCTTATGTAGTGCTAACTAGTTCTTATGTAGTGCTAACTAGTTCCTAAGTAGTGCTCACTAGTTCTTATGTAGTGCTAATTAATTCTTAAGTAGTGCTCAACAAGTGCGACGTTCTTCAAACCACTGAGCCGTTATTTTTAATACTAGTTACACACCAGTCAAAAAGATCGTTCTTTAGAAAATTGGTAATGCTAATAGTACTAGAAATTACTAACAGATCGTGAAGCTATGGCGCACTACCAGATAAATTTTTTGGTTAAAGAAACCTATACATAATCAAGTTGCTTCTAGTTTGGCTGAATTAATGCAGGAACAAAATAAGTTAATGAGTTTCGTATCTGAAATGGAGAAAAAAATAATCGTGCATTCATTTACAGTTCAAGTTTACAAACAATGTAACTTAATACTAATAAAATTTAGAAAACAAGGAAATCCCTTTAAAATTTAAGAAAAAAAAAATTGATGCATAGCTTCTCTCAAGACGTCGTTGCCGTCCACAAACTAACATTAAAAAACTTATTTTACATACATGCTGGTGCAGCTATGAAGGCACTTGACCATTTTACGGCGAATCACGCGTATATCCCTGTCAACATTCTACAAACATTCCTCTAGTTTGTACTAAAAAATAAACGTATTTTCCCACACTTCATTCATCCATGCTCGTGCGCTCCCCGATAGATCCCACAATTCGTCTTGTTTAATAAAGTTAGCGAGCTCAGATGGATGAAGTTGACTTGCGAATAGCTTGGCTTTTTATGGCAGTGCAACTTGTACCCATTGAAGACAGAATAAAAACATTCTAACTTCACACGTTCACAATAACGTACTTAGGTTTAGGTTCGCAAAAAATGAGGTTAAAGCTTCACCATGAATGGTAATGATGATAAACTAGATACAGTACTTACCCGTTATATACTCATAGCCACGTAAATTCCACGTTTTGTAAGGCTCGTACGAAGAAATTTTATAGGTATTTCCAAGAAGTAACTCAAATTTCCCAAAATTATTGAAGCTCGAGCGTACAGTTCGTGACTTTCTGATTGACTTGGACACAGCCAGTGAACACGACCGTACAGCGCAGCTCTACTCGACCAACTGACCAACGTGTCGCTGTCGCACTGCGACCTGAAGCGCGGGACTCAAGCGTGAAAAAAACTAAACGCGAACGACACGAGGATTGTTTCAGATCATCACGATGGGCGGCGTCTAAATTTTCAGTGCCTGATAGCCACGTCCAAGTAATATGTTTATAAGTCGCCATCTTTGTCTGTATAAGGGCTAATAAAGACTCGGGATCTGGATAAGCAAAGCAAATGATCGCAGATGAGTTACACGCATTTGTTATGCTTGTACTAATTACTAAAAACATGACGATTACTAGTATCGAATGATAAATGAATGATGTCATTATGAACATCAACGCGTAGACTTGAGCACCGCAGAACGCACATTTCGTTAACGGCCACAAAAGTTGTTCTTCAGCACTGAAAATCCGCCATATTTAACTAATATCGCATGCTTCACGTCTACAAAGAAACAGATTTTCGTAGTAATAATAAGCAAGTAGTAATATAGTGTTGACATAGTTTACAACTGCCACAGCGTTCGAGTCAGCCTCCCTGATAGCATCGTTGAAGCCTTGAGTATGAACATCTTCAAAAACAGACTAGACGAAGCTATGCAGGAGCATATGTTCAGTCTTAAAATGCCTAGCAAATTACGGACCAGGCAATAA